CGTCCTTGACTGAGTACGGTGACCCTGTTCACCAGGTGCAGTGCGTGCTCTGAGGGTTTGTGAACTGCGGGGAGCCGGGGGAGCCGCGCAGTTCGCGGAGCAGAAGAGAAACGGTCAGCTGATGGGGCTTTTCGCGCAATGCCGGGCGTATGGTTTAAAAAGCCTCCCTCATCAATGTTTCCATACCAGGCTCCCGGGGGGGGGGGGGGGGGGAATAAAGGTTGCATCTAGACACTTCCCCTGAGTGGTTTGCAGGGGTTGAACTGAGCCGTGGTTTCCCCTCTGCGATTTTCAGTTTGAGACTTGTTTATTTCCCACCCTCCCCGCAACCGCGCAGACCCTGGGAGGAGCACTCCCTGTGGAGGCAGCCTGGCCGCTGGGAGCCAGGACGGGCTGTCCACTCCCTCTGGGCTGTGCGGAGCAGATGTCCTCATGTCCAGCTGCTCAGGTCCCTGGCTGGGGGCTGCCGCTGCTCTGCCCGCCTCAGGGCGATTCCCAGGAGCCCGGCTGTCACAGCTGCTGCTGCTGAGCTGCAGGCACAGGGCACGCCCAGCTCTGCACCAGGCCCGAGGATCCCGAAACCGGACGCTTACTTCACTGACCCGCCTCGAGCTGGACACACGTCGAAACACAGGTGGCCAGCTGACAGGTCGGCCCGGTCGCCTCGGTGTGGAGGGCAGCTCGGGCCTGGACCGTCTGGGCCTCACAGTGGTGGGCCTGGGGGCAGGCGGGGTCTTCCCAGGGTTCACTGTGCACCGTCACCGGGGCCCAGGGTGAGCAGGCGGCACTGCCAGGGGCCCGGGGGTCCTTGTCCACGCAGCCGGCCACACCAGCCAGCGCTCTGGCGCGCTCACCGAGGTCTCTGCAGAGAGAGGAGGTGTGAGCTGCGGAAAGAGCCAGGACTCCATGGGCCCAACACTGCCCCCTGCTGGGCCCCAGGCCCGGCCATGGCCTTCAGTGGGCCTGGAGCCGACCAGCACCCCAAGGCTGAGGAGCCCCATTTCTCCCGCTGGAGGGGCCCTGCCATTAGTGCCCTGCCTTGAGCCGCAGGCCCAAAGCTGCGAGGGAGTGAGCCGAGGAGAGACCCAGGTCTCAGGGACCCTGCTCCGGGCTTTTCCAAGGGCGGGGCTGCGTCCCCTGGCTGTGTCAGGAAGGGCCTTATTCAGAGTGTGAAAACCACAGGTCAGGCTGCCTCCCCAGGCCAGGGGTCTGGGGGCCAGGTCACTACCTTCTCTAGCTTCTGTTCCCTTGTGGCCCCTACTCCCCAGCCCACAAACCAACCAGTCCCCAGGCTGATCAGACCTGAGACCTTGGCCTGAGATGTCACCTGGCTCCTCTTTCTCCCCCGAAAAACTGGCCTCTGCTCCACCTCCAGCCTCTGCAGGCTGCTCCCTCCCGCAGGGGCTGTCTCCCCCCTTCCCCGAAATCCAGGCTCACATCATGTGCCACCTCCTCCGAGAAGCCTTCCTGGCTCTCTGTTCCCACCCACAGCTAATTCTCAGACAAGCCCTTGGAAGTAGTAGGAATTACGAAATTATCTCTTGGTTTCATGGATACGTGAATGAATCAATTAATGAATTAGTGAAGAGGAAAGACAGCTTGGGGGCAAATCCGTGGACTTTGGAGCCAGAAAGCCTGCGTTAAAGCAGCTTCAGGCTTAGCAGCTGTGCATGGTCTGGACAGGTTCCTTGAAACGGAATCAGAGCAGTGCTTGCCCCTAAGGTTAGAAGTGGGAAGATCTGAAGGAGCTGAGAACAGTGCCGCCGAGCCGAGTCCTGGGACGTCTTTATGAAGTAAAAGCAGGTCAAGGGCAAACCTCGCCTCGCTGATGACAACCACCACCATCAGTGTGAGAACAGGCGCCTGGGCCTTGGCTAGGACGGCCAGACCCTGGGCTGCCGTCAGGGTCCCTGCCTGGGGCCCAGAGGCCCAGGCTGGGGGGCCTTGCTTCCTCCATCAGGCTGTGCAGTCCTGGCAGGCGCTGCCTTCTCTGGTCCCCATGAGCTGGACTCAGAGCGGGATCCTGGGGGCTGTGGGAGAGCTCGGGGAGGGGCTCTGACCCCCATGCCCCCCCAGCCTCTCCTCCTACTTCCTGCCTGAGCTGCCCTGACTAGAGCTGATTCTGAGTGGCCCCCAAGTCGCCCTCTGGGGAGGTGGTCACACAGTTCCCCACATGGCCCTGAGCTGGCCATCAGAGGAGAGAGAACAAGGCCCCAGGTCTGAGGACAGGCATCGTGGGCAGGCCCCGACCCCACAGCACCCACCCGGGGAGACCCATGCAGCCGCAGCAGCACTGGCTGCCCAGGATGCATGCTGCCTGGGGCAGGGGTGAGGGGCTCCACTGGGCTTTCCCAGCTGAGCCAGGACAACCTGTCAGGGTGAACCCCCGAGGGGCCGCACGGGCGGGGCCTGAAAGGAATCTGACTCACTGAAAGGAAAGGCATGAGCAGGACCACGCCAACCTAACCAGCACGAAAAGGAAAGGACTTGCGCCAGCCCTGGAGTCAGGCTCACTTCTACCCGGTGCACAAAGCTCCCAGCACACACGGGAAAACACCAGCAGGCCCGTCAGCAAAGCAAAAGAAGATGACCACACCCAGGGGCGCAGCCGGCAAGCAAGGGCCGGAGGAATCGCCCTTCCTCACGGTCAATGAAGAAATACGAAGGCACGCAGGGGGGCTCCCGAGAGGCGGCCCTGCCAGTCCGCCAGGGGAAAACACCTCCACTCAACTGTGCTGGGTCCCTGAAGAATCTATATATATAAAAGGCTCATATGCAAAGTGTCCCCTCACTCACTATGATGTGCGCTGACCACCAGGGGGCGGCACGGAATGAAGGAAGGCCCCGATTGGCCCTGATCACTGGCCAGGCCTAGGGACCCTACCTGTGCACGAATTTCGTGCACCGGGCCTCTAGTTTGGTAATCAAAATATTAAGACTCGCCCTAACCGGTTTGGCTCAGCGGATAGAGCGTCGGCCTGTGGACTCAAGGGTCCCAGGTTCGATTCCAGTCAAGGGCATGTACCTTGGTTGTGGGCACATCCCCAGTGGGGGGGCGTGCAGGAGGCAGCTGATCGATGTTTCTCTCTCATCGATGTTTCTAACTCTCTATCCCTCTCCCCTCCTCTCTGTAAAAAATCAATAAAATATATTAAAAAAATATTAAGACTCTTTGGCCTAAACAGTCTATTTCTAGGATCACCCCAAAATGTCATCTCAAAAAAGAGAAACAGCTCTAAGCACCAACATTTACCCAAACCTGAGCAGTCAGGGGGTCTCGTGAACACTGACCATCGGAGCGGAGCTCGGGGTACACCAGCCGTGTAACCACAGCTGCGTCCCAGGCCGAGGGCAGAGGCAGCGCAGGTGCGGCCACCAGCAGGCAGGCCTAGGTCTGTGGCTCAGGGGCGGGAGAGGGGACCAAGCCCTCCGCGGGCAGGCCCACAGTTCCTGCAACCCTGGGCAGCCAGGCCAGCCCATCCTGCGCCTGCTTTCTCATCTGTGCGGTGGGACAAGAGCAGCACCAAGAGCAGCACCCACAGCAGTGCCCGCCCGCCCTCAGCCTTGCCCACTCCAGGTGCCTCAGCCTGCCAGGACCTCACTGCGCAGGGAGGCGGCGCGGCGGGAGTGGGAGCAGCCCGGGGCTCCCGGGGGGCCTGCTCTGTGAGGGGGGCCTGGTCCTGAGCGCTGCCTCCACCCAGCGCAGTCGGGGCGGGCTCCCAGGGAAGCGCCGAGCCCACGGCCTGGCATGATGGGGACAGTGACTGCTGAGGACAGCAGCGGGGACAGACCCACACATTGTCTCCGCCTCTGCATTTGTGACATTTCCCCAGAATAAAGCTTTAGAGAAGAATAGCCTCGAGTTCACGGTGATACAACAAAATAAAATGAAAAGGGAAAAGCAGAACCCATCCTCATTCCTCGCAGAAAAAAAAAGACAGAATAACAACAGAACTAAAATCACACTTTTGTAAGGCCCCGGGGAGAAGCTGAGGCCAGGGAAGAGGTCCCTTGCAGAGCCCCGTCTCATCAGCTGGCAGGGACTCACCTCGGCCCCAAGAGCGCCGTCTGCATGTGCGGGGGCGCCCGCCCCGCCCCAGCACCCAGGCACCTGCGTGGGAAACGCGGCGCAGCCCGAGGGCCAGTGCCCGACAGCCAGTCCGAGCTCGGGCTCTGCAGGGACCGCTGGCCACCAGGACAAAAAGCTGAGAGGCCGAGCTGCTGGTGCCACGTGGGTCCTGAGAGGGTGCGCAGAGCGGTGACCACTTTCAGCCAGACCAGACTCTGGGAGTCAGAAGAGGGTGTGTGAGAGAACCGTGTGTGTGTGTGTGTGTGTGTGTGTGTGTGTGTGTGTACGCACGTGTGCTGAAAGGGAGGCAGCGGGAGAGGCGGGAGGACGGAGGGAGTCCACAGGACACAGCACAGCCTGTGGGCTGGGCGAACGGGACACGCAGGCTCAGGAGCTTTGCCTTCTCCCTAAGGGTGATTCTCACGATAAAGCCACGGGGCGGGAGGCCCGCAGCCAGGGTGCGGGGCCAGCACAGGTGCCAGCAGGACCACAGCCCGTCTCTGGGCCAGGATGTGAGGCCCAGGTGAGCAGCACAGCGTGAGGGGGCAGCCAGTACCCGCGGGTTCCTGGTTCTCCTGCCCTGTCCTGACCAACCCAGCCCCCCCCCCCTTATCCCTGCCCACTGCCCAGCCGGTGCCCACGTGGTGAAGCTGTGGTGGCCACGCTCCTGGCCAGGCTGGCCTCTGGGCCCCACATTGCCGCTGCTGTTCTTCAAGCCCGGGAGGCCCAGGTAGGTGGCCTGCAGCGTCTCCAAGTCTTCACCTCGCAGCTGGAGCCACAGCTGGGCAGCTCTGCAGGAAGAGATGCAAGGCAGTCAGTGCGTGAGGGCCCAGGCTGCCACCCTGAGCCTCTGCAAGCTGGGCTGGGAGCACTGGAGGCCCTGTGGCCTCCTCAGTTCTGGGGGGGGGGGGGCGGAGGTCGTGGTCACAGGCCATCGGAACATGCCAGACCACTCTACCTGCCAAGCAAGTCGTCTAGAGACAAGTCGTCAAGGACAGCGGCACAGTGTAGTGTAGTGAATGTAACTAGTGCCCCTGAATTCTACTCATAAAGACGGTTAAATGGCAACTTTTATGTTATAAACATTTTACCACCATGTTAAAAACTACAGTCAAACCTCAGTTCTCATATATCTCCCACCTCAAACAATTCGATTCTCTACTCAGTTGTTCACAAAAAAATATCTCAATTGTCGCCCTAGATGGTTTGGCTCAGTGGATGGAGCGTCGGCCTGCGGACTGAGGGTCCTGGGTTCAATTCCGGTCAAGGCATATGTCTGGGTTGAGGGCTCGATCCCCAGTAGGGGGCGTGCAGGAGATAGCCGATTGATGATTCTCATCATTGATGTTTCGATCTCTCTCTCCCTCTCCCTTCCTCTCTGAAATCAATTAAAAAATATATTTTAAAAAATCTGTTGTCAAACAAAACTTCAGTTCTCGACCTGACAACCCTTTCATGCTGATACCTGTATGACCAGTCACGTGACTCTCAAGTGACAAAGAAAATACTCAAGTGTGAGTAGTTTACTGCTGACCCTCGCATTGTTAACATTCTCGGGAAATTGTGCTGTGAATATTTCCATGTTTTTCTCCTTTTGTTGCTACTTATTATTTATAATATGTACCACGGGTCCTAAGGTTAGTGATAGCAGCAAAGTGAAAAGGAAAGTTGTGAGAAAAACACTAGAGCTTAAAAAAGAAATAATTGCAAAGTAGGATAGAGGTGTTTGCATGTCTGATCTGGCTACTGAGTATGTCATGGTGAAATCGATGATTAGCACAATTTTAAAACATAAAGCGGCCATCAAAAAAGCTGATGTAGCTAAGGGTGTGAAAGAAACAATGATCACAGACAACTGAAGAAGGCTAAGACGAATCACTTGGGGGTCTGGAATAGATTAATTCACTGTACATTACTTTAATGGGAAAAATGATTCAGTTTACAAACAAATCGCTTCTTGAACAGCCTTCCGAGAACCAAGGTTCCACTGGACTCCGAAAAAGGACAAATTACAGTGAAGCAGCCGCCGGCAGTGAGCAGAGTCCGCCTGGAGCTGCAGATACCACAGGCCGCAGCCCTCAGCCCTCAGGCCCCACAGTGGAGCACACACTGCTCGCGGCTGCACGCACTGCAGGACCAGCCAGCCCCCGTCCCCGCAGCCCACACGCCCGCCAGGCCACGACGCTCATGACCACGATGCCACGCCCCAACCGCAGTGCAGACCCTGACCGACCGTGTCTGCAGCCGTCGTGGGCTGTGAGGGCAGCTGTTGGTAGGGTGACCCTACTCCTCATGCCCCTGGGCACCCTTAGGAGGCCCAGATGGGCATGAGTGTTGGCACCCCTGGGGCAGTGCCGGGCCGGCTCCTGGCTCCGGGGAGTGGTCAGGGCTCGAGGCCACAGGCCCCCCTCCCACGAGGATGCGGGGCCACCATGCCTGTCGAAGCGCGCTGCTCGGTCCTCTTCACGCACTTCAGGAGGCAGCAGGTGAGGAAGGCCATGGACATGAGCAGGATGATGGCGCAGCTGACGATGGAGGCGATCACGGCCACCCTGAAGCCAAAGGTCTCATGGGGCGTCACAGCTGCAAGAGAGACGAGACCAGCTCCTGGCATGGCCCGCCGAGGCCCAGCAGTGGCGCTCACCCCGCCCCCAGGAGCCCATGCCATAGGGAGGCAGGGCAGCTGGCTGCTAAGGCGAAGGTCTGTGCAAACCCTTGTAGGAGTGAGGCTATCAGGGAAGACTGCCTCGCAAGAAGGGGGTGTTGGAGCAGGGTTTTAGAGTGTGTGTAAGAGTTTTTGGGGGCACACGGGAGAAGCTCTGACGGTGCCAGGGAGGCCCTTCTGGCTCTCACCCACTGCAGTCTGGGCTCAAGGCCAAACCCAACAGAGCCACAACATGGAAGGGTCCCCACTGTGGGGCACCATATGAGCAGAGGACTCCCAATCTGAGGGCCATGGCAAGAGAAATCTCCCATAGCCCCTGTTGGCTAACTCCCGCTATCTTGGGTTTTGTATCTCTAGGAATCTAATCCTAACAGATACCCTCCTTCTCGAGATTCACCCAACACAGGAGCATTTTAAAGGCTCTGAGAAGTCCTGCAGCCTTTAAGTTAACATGGCCTTTTCCAAACTGTCTTGACTACTGAGCCCTTTTCATCACACAATACACTGGCCTCCCTTTGAAAACGGCTGTGCTGGGTATTACCCTTCAACACCCTGCACTACAAATACAAATAGAAAACCTCTCCCCAACGGGCTGCAGGGCCAGGCGCATCCTGGCCCTCGGTGTCCCGGTCCTAGAATTCTTGGGACGTGGGGTCTTCTATCAGGGCTTGCCACAGGCATGCTTAGAGCCTGAGTCAATGAACAAATGCAGAACAGTAAGCGCTGGCTCAGACAGCAAGGTGACCGCTGGCAAGTGGTGGCCATGCCAGTGGCAGGCCTAGGGTCTGGAGCAGCTCCTGGGACTTGAATCCACACTATGGACGTGAAGCCACCAGGGTCACCAGCACCGGGAGCAGGAGCCTACACAGAGGCCCAGCCGGGACTCTGGCATCCATGGCACCTTCTCTGTGGACACCACGCTGTCCACATGACAGCACCAGGCCCCTCCCAGGGCGCCAGCGAATCTGGGGGGCAGCTGAGGGAAGCGGGCCTCACCTTTGCACACAGGGGGTCCCTGAAAGACCACTCAGCGACGCTCCCCTTCCAGGTGCAGGCGAGGAGGCCAGACCCCCACCATCTGGTGTCCTGAGGGGGCAGTGGAACACGATGACAGTCCCCACAGAGGCCCCGTCGCCGCGGAGCACTTGAAGAGTACCCCGCGGGGGCGGCCGCACTTTGGGTGCACGTGCCTAGGGAGAGTGACAGCATGAGCCCCCATTCCGGAGGCAGGGGCTCTGCAGGAGCCTCGGCTGGCATGGGCACGGCTGCCCGCCGGCCATGGGAAGCCCTGGGTCATCCGGCCCCGGACAGGAGTGGCAGGCAGAGCCAGGGGCTGGGAGCCGACCGACCCGAGGCAAACAATCCGTGTCCTGAGGGCCCCGTGCTGGGAACAGACCACGCGGGGACGTCGCTCAGCAATAGAAACAATAAAATCTTGCCACGTGCAACAACGCGGATGGATCTAGAGCGGATTATGCCAAGTGATATGGCAGATAGAGAAAGATAAATACCATGTGATTTCACTTATATGTGGAATTTAAATAATAAAACAAGTTAATAAACAAAAACCAGAAACGGACCTTAACATACAGACAGCAGGCTGGTGGTGGCCATGTGGGGGGGAGTGGGGGATGGGTAAAACATTTTTTTTTTAAAGGAGACAATCCGATGTTAAAGAAAAATTCTGAGCAGGGGGTTCTTTAAAAAGAGATGTAATGCACACCTACGAATGAAAAAAGGTAGATTTTATAGTTATAGGGAAAAATTAAAAAATAAAACGCATGTGCAAAGCTTGGCACACAGAAAAAAGAAAAAGAAGAAACACGCATCAGAAGACAATGAAAGCAATGATACAGGGATCACCCAAGTATTACAGGCCAAGGTTCCCAGGGTCTGGGCGTTCCTCACTAAATGCTATTCTTGCTATGCGTTAAAATGTAGCACAATATTTTGCAGACCAGCTATAAACAAGATGACCTTGACAGGAACCCAACCAGATAAGTGTAGCCAACTGCAAAGAAATAAAAGTGTAATTAACCAAATAGTGTATGTTGGCAATGGCGACTCAGCCTTTCTTCCTGGAAACAGCTTTGGGAGGGGATCTGGGCTCCTTCCCGTTCTGAGTAGAAACGACCTTGCGACAGACAGCCGTTCCGCACCTGGGAGTCCCAGCACAAGCTCCAGAGGCAGGCTGGGGGGGGCGGGGGGGCGCTGCATGAGAGCAAAACCTTTTGTTACTCCCTAATAATTGAAAAACAAACATAAACTTGGGTTTAAAAATCAGGAAAAGATCTTTGGAGGATACAGGACAAAGGTTCAACACCCTTATTCACAGAGATCTCACACCATGAAAGCTGGACGTCCAAATAAAGAAGTGCCTGACACGGGGGCCAGCTTCAGAGAGGGATACTGGCCGTCTCTTTACACAATCGCTTGCTACAGGAACCGAGGAAACTATTCAAACGAGCGCTAATCTTTTACTCCTCAACTCGGCAGAAAGGCAAAAAGAGAAAGGCCAAGGCCAAGTTAGAAAGGGCCTGGGCAACTCCTCTGGCCCTTGCTCACGGGTGCAGATCCACCCCCGGACGGAGTTCTGGCAAATGCAGTGAGAGCCTTACGCTGTAGATGCAGCTGAGGACGTCGCCAACGGAAATATTATGAGTCCGCTGCCAGGACCTCTGCACCAGGAGGTTCGCCTCACAGCAGTGAGCAGTGAAGTCACCCCGTCTCCAGCTGTGGGGACGGTGCCGCAAGGAGAGGTACATCTGGTGATGTCAGCAAGGCCGTCCTTACAGAAGGACAGAGAGACAATCACGGCATCCTATATAATAAAAGGGCAATATGCTAATTGACCATCACACCATCACAAAGATGGTGGCACCCACAGCCAATAAGGAGGGACTATGCTAATTGACTGCCATGCCCTTAAAGATGGCAGCGCCCAGTCCCTTCACCCCACCGGGGCGGCAGGCGTGCGGCAAGGCTCCACGCACCTGCCTCCAGAGTCCCCCAGTCCCCTCAGCCCCCCAGCTGCCAATGGCCGGCCCGAGGCGCGGGCAAGCCTCGGATGGCCAGTCACTATGAGGTGCACTAACCACCTCTTGGTCCTTTTCCCTGGCCAGCAGGCTCTGATCGCCCAATGACAAACGGGGACCTGGGGTGGAGGACAGGGCCAGGGAGTGGGCAGAACGGCCGACCTCCTGGTCCCTCCCCACAGCTGGCAGGCTCCGATCGCCTAATGGTGGACGGGGACCTGGGGGTGGGCGGCAGCGGGGGGCAGGGCCAGCTGTGGGCAGCTGGGGAAGATGGCCCTGAACACAGGCCAGGCCTAGGGACCGTACCCGCACACAAATTCGTGCACCAGGCCTCTAGTTCTTTATAAAATAATAACATTGAAACAGCCGCATGTGCCGGCGGAGGGCGGAGGGCTGTGTCCCGCACGGGGTGAAGCTCAGTGGGCACCCCACATGCCTCCCCTGCCCGCGTGCAAGAGGCTCTTCCTTCTGCTTTTCCAGAATGTTCTGATTTTGAGCACTGACTCCCCGACTTGGGCAGAAAGGTAGAGTGGCTCGTCTCAGAGACCGGGAGGCTGCCGTGGACACACTAATCGGGAGGTGTCTGCGGGGGCCCCGTGGCAGAGGCCTGAGCAAGGGGGTGGGGACAGACGCCAGCTCCTCCAGGCTGAGGCCCGTTATTCCAGCGACCTGTCCTGGGGATGCGCGGACGGGCCGCCCTGCACACCGGGCACAGACCCTGCTGCCCGCTCGCCTGCCCACCCAGCCATGCCCTTGTGCTCCCTCCCAGGCTGCCCCCATGTTCACTTTGAGGTTAGTTACCAAACCCTCTCTTCTTTACTGGTTTTGGCCCCAAATCTTAGAATTTAATTGGACTCCTTCTCAATCCACGACCAACCTATCAGCAAACTTGCTTTCTGGATATAGTCCACACCGGCCATCTGTACTGGGCCAGAGTGCCCCCAAAATCAGGCCCACCTGGCAGCAGCCATGGAGGCTCCACTGTGAAACAAAGCCCCCTTTCGCACAGGTGTGGGGACCACACACGCCACCAGCTCACATGCCCGGGGCTCAGGGAGGCCGGCTGCCCACGCCCCTCACTGCGGTGACAAGGAGGCCGGGCGTGGCCGTGCTCGGCCAGCTGCCTGAGCCCACCCTGCCTCTGCCCCACCAGGAGCCGGCGCAGTGTGAGCTGGGGGCTGCCTTCTGGATCCCCACAAACAGCACCAGGTACCTAATGGGTGTTTGCTGGGTTGCAGCCCTCTGAGGAAGAGGGGAAACTGAGGCACGGCAAAGCTGGATGCAGCACGCCTCCCCCTCGGGCTCACACACCAGCAGCACGAGGCCCGCCGCATGCATGCACGGCCGCATGCCCAGCCTCCCTCGGCCCGGGAGCAGCGCTCTCCCCACTTTCCCACGGAAAGGCCACACGCAGGGGGCGGGCATGCCCGACGCCCAGACAGAGGGAGCAGCGCCTGGCGGTGCAGCACCTCGGGTTCCTACAGCACAGCAAGGGCAGACGCGGGGCCTTGCGACATAAACAGCATGTACACTAATAAGACGCAACAACAGTCCCAACAGCCTGGCCACGCTCCGTGGGGTGGAGCTCACCCCTCGCACCACAAGGCTGTGGGTTCGCTCCCGGTCAGGGCACATGCCTAGGCCGCAGGCTCGACCCTCAGTCGGACGCTCACAGGAGGCAACTGATGGATGTTTCTCTCTCACATCGATATTTCTCCCTCACTCCTCATCCCTCTCTCTAAAACAATAAGCATATCTTCAGGTGAGGATAAAAAATAATCACAGCTACAAAAAAGGTTAAGTTAGAAAAAAAAAGACAAAGAGCCCCCAAGCAGTGGTGTAGGATACTTAGTTAAGAAAATTAAATGAATAGCATCCAAATCAGAAAGAAAGAAGCAAAACTTCTCTATTAGATAACATGGTCTTGTGTCCAGAAAAATCCCCAGGAATCTGCTAAAAACCTATGGGAACTAATAAATATGCCCAGCAAGGTGGCAGGATACAAGATCAATATATGAAACCCAAGGCATCTCAGTGCAGTGGCCAGGAACACGCTGAAAATGAAATTAGGAAGACAATCCATTTACAAGAGCATCAAGAAAAATACATTACTTATAGTTTTAGCAATAAATTTAAGAAAAGCAGCACAAAACGTAAACTCTGAAAACTACAAAACATTGTTAAGGAAATTAAAGAGCTAAACAAATGGGAACTGCCACGTGTCGGGCGTCGGAAGCCTTCCCAGTGAAGAGGGCAGATGCGGAGTCCACGCCCCGAGCAGAGGCCCCTCGGCTGCCGCTGCAGAAATTGACAAGCTGCTCCTAAAATTCACAAGGAAACGCAGAGCCTCAGAATAGCCAAACAAAACCAGACCGAAAAGGAACAAAGTTGGAAGACTCACACTTCCCTATTTCAGAACTCACCACAGAGCTATGGGGATGGAAGCAGAGGTCCTGCGTAGAGACAGACACATGGCGGTGGGACCGACGCACCTCCAGGCCCTCGCCTCGGACAGGGGTGCCAAGATGATGCCATGGGAGGGGTCGGTCTCCAACAACCGTGCTGGGATGACACCCACACGCAGAAGAATAAAGCTGGGCCTGTCCCCACATCCTGTACAGAAATCAACTGAAAGTGAATCAAAGACATAAATATAAAGGCCAAAACTTTAACACTCTTGGAGGGAAGCATAGGGATCAGTCTTCTTGACCTGGGATTAGGCAATGGTTTCTTAGATATGATAACAATAACCAAACAACAAAAGAAAAAATAAACTGGACTTCAGCAAAGTTAAAAATATTGGTACTTCAAAGGACACGACCCAGAAAATGAAAAGGTTTACAAAGTGAGACAAAATATTTGCAAATCACGTATCTGATAAAGGACTTGTCTCTGGAATGTATAAATCATTACAACCGAATTATAAAAACACAAACAACCCAATTTTAAAATGGCCAAAGCTCTGAAAAGACATTTCTCTAAAGGTTTCCTGATGACCGCCAATACCCACATAAAAAGATGCTCAACATCGTTCGCTTCAGAGAAATGCAAACCGAAACCCCAGGGAGCACACAGAAGACAGGTGTACCGGGACATGCGGAGCCCAGAGCGGGACGCTGCAGGGGCGGGGCCGCAGGGGCGGGGCCGGGGGCTGCTTGGACAATCTCTCCAGCAGTTACATGGAGCATCACCACAGGTCACAGTGACGCCCTCCCAGAAACAGAAGAAGAAACACACATCCACACACACACACACACACACACACACGCACACACCTGTACACAAAGCTCACAGCAGCATCGTTGCCAGTAGCCAAGAGGAGAAATAACCCAAGTGTCCACCAACTAAATAGGTCCATCCATACAATGGAATATTATTTGACCATAAAAAGGAATGAAGCACTGACGGGCTACAATGTGGAGGAACCTTCAAAACATTGTGATCAGCGCATGAAGTCAGCACAAAATTGTACGATCCGTTTCTGTGAAATGTCCAGAAAAGGCAAATCCACAGACAGGAAGTAGATTAGCAGTTGGGGGGGGGAGGGGGAGGGGGGACCTGACTGTGCTAAGGGATGTGGGTCTTCTTTCTGGGGTGATGACAATGTCCTAAAATCGTGAATATTCTAAAAGCCATTGAGTTGTACACATTAAATGTACAATTTAAATGGGTGAATCATATGGTATGTAATTTATACCTCCATAAGTTATTACAAAAACTCAGGGGAAATATATATGTCAAAGAAATGCAAATTTGAAACCTAAAATACAGTTTCTGGCCTCTTAGCTTGGTTAAGATTAGAAAGACAAACAGCCCACCAGAGTGGTGCTGGCTTAGGGGCAGGGGGCCCCCTCTAGACCTGTCCAGGACCCCCCCACGGACCCTCGCTGTCCATGGCCACGGCGGAGCCCAGTGTCTCGGCTCTTAGTTGACCACAGTGTCTCCACAAGGGCCAAAGCGGCGAGGGCATGCGCGGTGCGTGGGCGGGCGGGTGAGACCTAACGCAGGACACGCTCCTTTCTTTCCCAGGATCTGTGGGCTTGGACATGCCCTTTCCTTCCAGCCAGGAAGGTGGACGTGGGCTTTGGGGCAGGGTAGATGGGCCGGGCGGCCACAGGCGGGCCACGTGGCCCTTCCCCAGGATCGCCAGGCAGGCAACACTTCCCAGTCCTCCATTTAGAGCTGTGACTTCTCTATTTTTCCGTAACCTTTTCCCCCCCTTTGGTGTACATTTAAAAAATGTATTTATTTCAGTATAGTTGGTACACCCTTATATTGGTTATATTCGTTCCAGATGGATAGCATGGTGATTTAGCATTTTGATACCTTACAATTGATCACCCCACTAATTCTAGTAATCACGTCACTGTGCAAACTCATCACAATATGATTGACTACAGTCCCCTCCCCCTTCCTTCCACCTCTTCCGTCTGTTTCTGTGTGGTTTTTAGATTCCACATAGAAGTTTTCACATGGTATTTGTCTTTCTGACTTATTTCATTTAGCATAATACCCTCTAGATCCATCCATGTTGTTGCAAATGACAAGATTTCCATCTTTTTATTGCTATAAAATATTCCATTGTATATATGTACCACCTCTTCTTTATCCATTCATCTATCAATGACACCCTAGGTTGCTTCTATAACTTGGCCATCATAAATAATGCTGCAATGAACATAGAGGTGCATATAGCTTTTTGAATTAGTGTTTTTATTTTCTTTAGATAAATACCCAGAATAGAATTGCTGGGTTGTATGGTATATCCATTTTTAGTTTTTGAGGAATATCCTATTTTCCATAATGGCTGCACCAATTTACCATCCCACCCACAATACACAATGAAAAAATTTTTTCTAGATGTAATTTAGTTACAGGATATTTTTCCTTACATGGTATTTTTCCACTACACAATGGTTCCCTTTTCTCCACATCCTCGCCAACACTTGTTTATTGATTTATTGATGGTAGCCATTCTGGCAGGTGTGAGGTGATCTCTCATTGTGGTTTTAATTTGCATCTCTCTGATGATCAGTGATGTTAACTTCTCATATGTCTATTGCCATCTGTCTGTCCTCTTTAGAGGGAATCCAAGGGGAGCCCAGAGCGACCCTCACCATCCCGCATCCTGCGGCTGCCTCCTTTCTGCCCCCCCCCCCCCCCGCCCTCCAGGTGCAGGGTGCAGGGAGTGCTGGAGCCTCGGGGAGCAGGCCTGGGCCTGCGGGCAGTGGGAGGGTGGTCTCTACAAGGGCTGGGCACCCAGTCAGCCAGTCAACAAACATTTAAAGCCCAGCTCTGAGCCAGGTTCCCCCACCCCACCACCCCTCACCAGCTCACAGGGGGACGAGAGAAGGACACAGACCCCAGGACACTGAATCCATCTGGTTGGACTTTCAGGAAGAGCAGAGTAATGCACCCATTTTACAGATTGCAGGAAAAACACAGCCCATTGCTGTGTTTTAGACAGTGCCAAACTATCTCCAAAGACCCCTCCCTTCACAGCCCCACAGAGAGAAGGGTGCCCATTTCACAGCCCAAGAGACTGGGTGCATAGGGCAGGGGAGGGGTGCGGTGGGAAGGACAGTGTTACCCCAGAGAACAGCCTGGGGGCAGGTGGATAGTGTCCACCACTTAGCACACCTGGAAACTGAGGCACAGAGGCTGAGACGCACCCCAAGTAAAAGGGGGCTTCCAACCTCCAGTTTCAGGGAGGGTTATGGGCTGGGACCCAGGGCTTCCATGGGCAGGAAGCTGTGCTGCAGCAGCCCAGAAGCAGGGCTGGGGCTGGGCTGGCGGCCAGAGGGCAGGGCCGGGACTCCGTGCCTCTCTCCCCCAGGAGAGTCCTCTGCAAACAGCCTTTTGTATGCAAACCTTGGAAGGCCCCTCTCCCTGTCCTGGCCGACCTTGGGCAAGTCCCTGCGGCTCTGTCCACACCCTCCTCCCAGCACCCTAGCACACACTGTGTCCCTCCCACACCCGGCGAAGCACCCAGGTCAGGGCTGGGCATCAAGCTGCCCTGGGATGCCAAACAAAATAAAGCCACCCACCAGGCCAGGGCAGGTCTTAGCTCCTATTGGTGACTCAACTCCCTGGGCCCCAGTTTCCCCATCTGAGAGGACCCCCCACCCCCCGCCCCCTGATGGCAGGTGTCATTGCTGTAAGTGGGACCAGCTGCACCCAGGCTGACCTGGGCCCATCCTGCCGAGCGCGGCACAGGTGCTGAGACTCCTCAGCGTCTACAGTGAGCCTCTGGGGCAGTGGTTCTCAACCTTGGCTGCACATTAGAATCACCTGGGAATCTCTTTAAAATCCTGATTTCTGGGCCTCATCCTCCGGAAATTCTGTTTCTTCGTTACTAATGCTGTGACCCCACCCCATAACAAAGAAACAGAATTTCCGGAGGGTGAGGCCCAGAAATCAGGATTTTAAAGAGATTCCCAGGTGATTCTAATGTGCAGCCAAGGCTGAGAACCACTGCTCTGGGGCATCCAGGGCGCATGGTCCGGGCTTGATTCCGTTTCTAAAAGGGTTAGATTTCAGGTGCGTTCATGGGACAAAGTCGGCATTGGAGCTTTAGATGCCTTCCTACCCCAGAACCAGGGCACGAAG